TATATACATAAATATATATATATATATATATACATAAATATGGTCTTCATTTTTCTTCGTTCTGCATTCTTTCATATGAACATTGCTTATTTTGATGACGCAGATGATCAATAAACTTTTTGGCAAAATTGGAAAATTAAAAGAAAACACATATATATATATATATATGTATATATACATAAACACAAAGAATTAGGTATTTCAAAGGAAAGAATTTTGGAATCTTTTCTACCGTCAAATGGATTATAAAATTTATTAAGAACTATTTCCTGATTCTCTTGTTTAATGCTAAAAACATGTGACAAAAGGCAAATGATGATATTGTTTCATTTAGATTGAAATGACTCTTAAGGCTAAAGTTCACATTCAAAAATCTCTGAATTTCAATCATTTCTATTATTATTATTATTATTATTATTTTCTTCTTCTTTCAATTTTTTTTTTTTTTTTTGGTATTTTATTGGTGTGCAAAACTAGTCGTTAATTTTCCGTTGTGGGATTCGTTAATTTTGTATTTGTTACTACGGTTCACATGTGGGTCTGTCTGGTACGAATTAACTGTTATTTACTTTTTTCCAAGAGAAGTCGTAATTTTAAGCATTCCATCTTCGTTACATCTCTAAATTGTGTACGTTTAGAGATACCCTAGTTAACCTATAATAAGACCACAACCTAATCTAAATTGATTTTTGGTATGATTTAAACGTCCACTTAAAGCAAAAGAGAATGGCAAAGGTTGTAGACGTTTCTCAAGTACACCACACACATTCCAATTAGAATCAAAGGAACCTGCAAACGAACAAAAACGGAATATATATTTTATTGTGTTTGCAAGGTTTTTCGACCTTTTTTTGTTACACTCAGTTTTATATACATATATATATATATATATATATATAAACACTTGCCTCTAAAAATGAGATCAGCCTTAGGTAAATCCACTTGATAACCCATTGTTGCGACAGACTCTTGCATTCTCAGACTAGTTTCCAATTCGACACCAATTTGTAATTGTTCGCTGGCTTTTTGATAATAACAAATGTGAACACCGCCCGGCCCCAAAGTGCCCGACCATGAAGAATCACCATTAGTATAGCGACCGACAGCTGATACCACCGCTATTTGACCACCAGGTACATTCGGACCGTATTGATAAGCCAGCTCAGCACCCAAGGCTACCGACTTGGTAATTGATTGTAAATAATGTCCAACAAAAACACCCGAATTATTGAAAATATTTGGATTACCCACAGTAAGCGAGGCAGTATAATCGTCGCCGCGATAATCGGTCGTTAATTGCGCAGCCGTAATTTTCGATTCTTGAATCTGTAAAATTTTAATATATTAATGAATTACAATATATACTTTAAAAACATTATCATTGAAATTTACCTGTGAGGCAAATTTACATCTAATACGGGGCGAGAATTGATGAATAATATTGGCATTCAGATTACCCGATGGATCGATGTCGCCCAAAAGCACTGGAAATGCTTCAGAGGGACTAAATTGTTTGGTACCAACATATGTAGCACCAAAACGATAACCGCTTGGCTGTGTGCTGCATAAATTGAGTGTATGTGAAACCTGAAAATGATTACTCAAACCTTTATTTAACATCACCTTTGCTCCTTCAAAGGTCATGGCCTGTATATCTGAAAATCAAATAGACTACGATAGAATTTCATTGAAAACAATTGGAATTTCATTCATTTTTTACAAAAATTTCATTCACATTCTTGTAGGTTATGTCATCAGCTTAACAATATTACCCCTCTTATGTATGTCACCGCAATCACTATTAACGGTATATTCTCTTCACGCGTTTTTATACTAACCTTTACATTTTTTATGTAATTCTTCGACAGTTCCTGGATTCTCTAACGAATCGTCCTTTTCTTTAGATTGCGAGGTTAATACTCCAGGTGGAGCTGGTTCCGGTAGCCCCTGTTTAGCCGCTTTATCTAATGCTGTTGCTGCGCTGCTCGGCGTAGACGAAGTTGCTGCCATAACATTACCCATTTTTGCCCGTTTTTATTTTTCTCTACTTTTTAACTACTAACGCACAAAAAAACCGCTTTTAATTTTCCTATATATCCTTAATATTCCGCTAAACTTTATTAAAATTCTTTAACTCCGAATTATAGAAATTTTGTTTTACAGATAATAATGGCCGTTTTAGTTTTATTTTGTTACCGAAAAAATTGGTTAGAAATTTACTGCATTAGGAAAAAAATCAGACTGACAATAATAAGGTGAATTATTTAAAATGACACGTGCGTGGTGAACAATTGAATTTTAGCACAGCCACCGTACTGTCACAGAGTGAAGCTGGTCCATTAAAACGACCATACATAAGCGCAATCATGTGCTCTTTGACGTATAAACATATGTAAAAGGTATGTAAAGAGGGGAATGCTATCCATCAATCCTCAAGCAATTTTCAAAATTAATTTAAGTAAATAAATTTATGAATTTAAAAAATAATCAAATAGTTTTGTGTTTTTCCTCTGAATGTTATCGAAACTCCAGTTAAATCATCGACTGTCTTTACCATGTGCATATCCAATGACTGAATATAACACAAACAGCAAATAAAAATATTTGCGTGTTAATTTTATTCGAACAATTTGGATTTTTCAATGACATTGCTCCACTATTTTACACATTGATTATTTCGGTTCCTTGCGTTTTCTTTTTATTTATTTAAGAACATGTTTCAGTCATTTCCCATTTATATTAATACATATAAAGTAAACCTTTAAAAATAAAAAGTACGCTTCATCGGTTTAGCATTCACGACTTTTTTATTTATTGTGGATAAAATTTTTATTCTTAAATTTTGTATAGTATGGCGACTATAGAGTTTTTATTTGTTCTACTAGAATCCGCATGAGTGGCTGAGTAGGCAAAGGATGACGTCTAAGTTATCCGACCGCCTTTAAATCCATACTTTGCAAATTTATTTACAAAATGTAGAAACAATAAATAAATAAAAATTGCTTCATTAGAAATTGATTTTGAAATAAATTCATACCTACCACCCACTTACGGTGTTTCCATCGTTTTGAATAGTATTCAACTTAGACAATACCGCTAATCGTAGTTTTTACAGCCAAAAACGCGCTTTCTGTTAAAGACTCTATATTAGAAGAGGAGTGCGAGCCCGACAAATATAAAACGTGTAGTAAACTCAAATTAATTAGTAACTAGGCTGAACATAGATAAAAAATGTTTAGTCCATGGTGGTTAAATGAAAATGAATTATTTGTTTAGAAAATATTATATAAAAAGTATGGGTTTTGATTTTCCAAATAGTTCTTAATGTTTTCAATGTTTTATATGAAATTTTTCTTTTTTGGATTATACAACGATCGAAAATGCGTATACGTTTATTCCGAAAAAAACCAATGCGTAAAAGCTCCCCAGACCTTGCTATGTGTTGACATTTTCCCAATATCTAGTGATTTCATGAAGTTTCCATATATTTTTTGTCCGAAAATATAGACATTGTTAATCGCTCTACTACAACCTTACATTGCTGTGTGTAAAAATCACAGTTGCCAAGTTGCCAACTGGAAGTGAGACAATCCTAACATATGTACACCTACCAGGTGTGCACATTGTTCCACGATTTTTTTATTAGTTTTGTTAACATAGACTAAGCCTACAACATATGTTTGATTGTTTTAGCTAAAATGAAAGGAAATAATTTTACTTTAATTCATTAAAATTTCCAGTCAGTGCATTCATCATTTTCAAACAAAAATATCAAAATTCGTAGTAAAAATCTTGCTTGCTTGACATTCTTTACAAAATGTCTTAAAATAGTTGATCGTACTTTTGCTATCAGTTAATACAAACAACTGCAAAGAATATATATCGAATTATGCATCGATTCAATACTATTTAATATTTTCTATTTAAAATATCAAAGTAACATGTACATTAAAGATGCACATATATTAATTAATTTCTATAATTGCGATTTTTCTATTAAAATTTTTGTATTGAAATATCATGTTTATTTTCACAAACTTTTTACACATATAGTTACCGGTAAACTATAACTCAAGTAAAAATCACAACACTACTTTGCATTACGTGTTTGGTAGCAAAAGTAGTAAAAGTCAGCAACGAACACCGAATTCTTTCTGGTGGCAAGGTTTTCTTTGCGATTGAGCGCGTCATTTCTAAACTTCATTTTACAAAATTGCGAACCGCCAAACGAAGGAAAGATCTAGAGAAGAGTGGTCTGCAATGCCGCCGAAAAGGAAAAAAGCCGGTGACGAAGTATGTTAACAAATGGTTAATCCAAGGATTTTAGTCATTTTTTTGTTTCTTTCTTGTAGGATGGTGCAAGCAGCACTTCGAAGAGAACAAAAAGCTCTTCCAGTAGCCTAAAACCAAATCAACCCGTATTATACATAGAACACTGTCGCTCCTGATCGGTCTTTAAAAGGAGAGCAGAAGTGTTGCACCGCGAACTTCAAAATAAATTGATAAAACTTAAGCCAGACATCGAATTACAGTTATCTTTAAATGCAGAAGGAACGCCACGTAGAGGATCGTTTGAGGTTGCTATCGCTCAGGAGCCTGCAGCAATGCGTGTCCAATTATGGTCAGGCGTAAAGAAAACACCAAGAGCTAGCAAATTTCCACCACCCGAACAATTACTCGAAGATATAACGAAAATAATAATTGCCACTAAAAAAGAAACTGAGAACAAATCACCTCTTCCTGGCCCATCTAAACGCAGTGCAACAAAAAATTAATTCAAAATTCATTGATTGAAAATTACAAATGTAGCTCTTATGACTTGAGTAGTGGTAAAGCCTTTACGGAGCCCTACTTGACGAACTTCTTCAGCTCTTTTTGTATTTTCAAATAAAACAAATATGTTTGGAATATTTTTTTATAAAAATTCCAGAGATCAATTGCCACATTTAATCAAATCAATAAAGTATTTATGAATTCAATCGTCACTTTTTCTTATACTATGATGATACTATTTCTCTCCCGCTAACTTTGGACAGAAAGCACAACTGACATGGGTTTCCCCTTGAGCTTCATCCATCTCATCGGCGGCGCTTCTGGAGTAAGTGTCTATAAGTTCTTTCAATTGTTCAAATGCGTCAGTCAATTCTTCTTCTTCCATACCTTCTCCGGTATACCAATGCATATGAGCCTTGCGTCTGTACATTGCGGTGGCCGAGTCGAGAATTCTTTTCAACATTTTTTGTATAGCCGTAGTATTTCCAATAAATGTCGCCGACATTTTCAGTCCGCGTGGTGGAATATCGCAAATAGCCGTTTTAATATTGTTCGGAATCCATTCAACAAAATGGTTGATATTTTTGTTGCGTACATTAGTCATTAACTGATCCACTTCTCGCGGTGACATTCGACCTCGGAATATACCTGCTGCTGTTAATAATTTGCCCTGCCTTAAATCCACCGCACATAATAAATTATTGGATGAGAATATCTGTTGCACAAGTTCAGATACTGTGCCCTTATTGTATTGTTGTTGTTTAGGAGATATCAAAGGTGCAAATCCCGGTATAAGAAAATGAAGAGGCGGAAATGGTACCATATTAACATAAATTTTTCTAAGACCTGCGTTCAATTGACCTGGAAATCGTAAGCATGTTGTTATGCCAGACATTGTTAAGGCCACTATATGATTAATATGTTCATTAGTGGACGTTGATATGCGTAAATTTTGTGAGCAAATATGGTATAAGGCCTCATTATCCAAACAAAATGTCAAATGTGAAAAATTCACCAGCGATGGAATACTTAATGCCGCATTGTAAGGCTCTACGACGACGTGTGACATTTTCTCTGATGGTATGACTACATAGTTCGAAATAAGATTATCGGGGTATTCATCGACAAGAGACGCCATTATCAACGCCGTCAATCCAGAACCAGTGCCACCGCCAATCGAGTGAATTAATTGAAAACCTTGTAGCGAATCCACACTTTCGGCTTCCCGCCGAATGTTATTTAAAACATCTTCTAAAATGGCGGCACCATCAGTGTGAAATCCACGCGCATAGCTATTACCGGCGCTCTCTGTACCAGAAACGAAGTTTTCGGGTCTGTATATATCACTCTTACCGAATAACTTTTGCAATTGTCCTTGCTCAGTATCAACGCATATTGCGCGGGCATAAAACTTTTGACTAGCTGTAGCATTGAAGAACACGCTCACGCGTTCCAGCTGTAATTGACTAGTGCCACAAAAACGCCCAGATTTAAAGTCTATGCCATGTTCGTGGGTTATAACGTTCCAAAACTGAGAAAACAGACATCTTTAGAAGGTATAGTAAACCTGAGAACGTTTAATTAAGCTTACAGCATCTCCGATGGCATTGCCAGCGCCTCCTATTTGCACAGTAATAATTTCACGCATAATTTTGAATTTGTTTAAAGGATTTTCTAATTTTGATTATTTTTTTATTGCTTGCTTTCCTATTTGATTAAATTTTGTTCATGGTTTATCAATTTTTTATTAATAAATTGTATAAATTAGAAAGAAGTTGCTTCGATTATTTAAGTTTACTACGTCGAACCAACTCTTATAATTCAAATATGCTTCTATAAATTTAATGTAAATAATATAGACGGTTTGGCTTAGCCATTAAAATTGTAACGTTTTATTGAAATCAAAAATTTTATTTAAATCATTAAAAAGTACTTCTCATCCACATACTTTTTTGTTGAAATTACAAATTCACCAGTTTCAAACCAACCTAATAAGCTATTTCTCTTTTTTCTCTATCGATAAAGTGTTATACAAGCGATTCACTTCGTTAGCAATATGATTATCCAAAACAATACCATTAGCATCGATAAAGTTTGCACAGGATTTTACACTGCTTGTCTCCTTTAATGATTTAGCATCCTTAATAGACAACACTAAAGTATATTTATCATCATATTTCTTCATATCTGAGCTAGCTTCCCATAATCGTCTTTCGCCGTTGGGCATTTTCTCAGTAGCTACGGCAAACGTTCCTTTTTCACGAAAAGTAGTATGCAAAGTTAAAACGCCCATTAAAGCGAAATAACCAACGACACAAAACATTAATACTGGCTTTGATTCGGGAAATGGATGCGTGAAATCCCAACCATGCGCCATAACAGCGACGCCAACCGCTAATGTACACAAAATCAAACGTGTATTGATTAAACCAAATTGTTCCTTCAAATGTGGCCTTGTCGCAAATAAAGCATTCTTAACGGCATCATCTAGAGCATGTTTAACAGCAGTGCCATCCCATTTATTTATTTTTACAAACTGTAACAAAAACAAATATTTTATTGGACACGCAATGCTGTATAAGCCGGTGTATGACGTGGACTATACGGAGGACACACCAATTGTCTCCATTTACAAAAACTTACCTCATCGAATTGTTCAGATTTCTCATCTATAACTCATTTTGTTTTTATTTTATTTTATATTTTTTTAATCTGATTAAAACCTATTCAAAAATTAGAGGAAATTAATGTATAATTGTGCAAAAAAAAGTGACAAGCCAACAAGACAAAAAACAATGTTCCCCCACTTGACAAATTATTTGGATAGGAAAAAATTTGACAATACAAATAAGTGCAGTCAACACGAATGTATACAAACCTTTTAAAACCGCTGCGGATAACATATAAGATATTTATCCGCCTGATCCATTCAGTTTGGACTACTATATGAAAATAAAAAATTGTAACGCCATTGAAAAAAAAATTAAACTCTCGCCTGCAATATCGGGAACCACGAAAGCGAGTGGTCTATTAAAGAATATGTTTAATACCAATAAAATAAGCAACGAATTGTCTAAACAGTCTGGAGTTTAACAATAAAGATTGTTACTTAGTTAGAATTCAATCGTAAAAATGGCTTCATTATACAAAAGGTGTTTCGTTCAATTCCAAAATAAAATGAAGTAAGATATATTTAGAAGCAGCCCTACTTTTGTTAATAAAAAGATATATACAAATTGTTGAAAAGTTAAAAAAAAAGAATGGATCACGAGGATTTTTTGAATAACGTTAGAAATTATAGTCAATTAGACAAATATGGAAATTTCGAAATTTTACCTAGCGAGTAATTTTTAAACTGACGGCGAAAACCCGATACCGGAACTTGACGATTTAACGTTACATATTGCGTACAATAATTGAGAATAGGTTTAAGCTACTTAAAGGTAGATTATTTTACGAAGCGTACTGCGTGATTTTTGCTCCGCAATCTATATAATGATTTGATAAAATCACTCAATGCCAGGGAAAATGAAGTAATGGTTATTAAAAATTCGGGAAATGAAATACTTTAGTTCTATAAAGAACTGAATTTGTAATAGGAATTCTATATAGAACTCAACAAGAGCTCCGGTATTATTGAAATATGTAGGAAGCATGTGATGATGACAATGAAAATGTATATCATAATATTTGACTTGTTCGACGTTGGAAAGTTGTGATAGTTCAAACAAAATTAATTACGTCTCCTCTTTTATCATATTTATAAATGCTTTTTCAGCAATCGTGAAAACACGGTATGCTCGTCTTTCTTTTCAATTCTCACTGATCTACAATTTGATTTTACGACTACAGGAATGCTGCGCAAAACAATAATGTCAAATTTCCAATTTTTCTCGGCATATATATATAGAAATGTTCCTATTCCGCTTTTATTGTTGTCACCTTTTAATTATTTTGTATTATATTGGCAGCCTTGTCGTGAATGTGTGCAACTGGTCGCGTATTTCCCTGACAGAAGAAATTTTATTTAACTAAATAAACAGGTGAAACCCAATTTTTAAAGTTATTAAAATAAAGTATATAAGATGGTCTTTGCATTTTGCATACGTGAAGCCGCAGATTAAGATTTCTTTTCGTATCGCAAAGTAGATTTAATGAAAAACATGTGGCTTTCTTAAGAGCTCTCACAAATGAGCCTTGGCGATTTTATTACTAATCTATATTATCCCTTTAATCCCTTGAACATTGAAACTAATATAAGAAAAAGAAGCAACAATGACTTTTAGACTAGTCACAAACCTATTTATTCAATATTCCAAGAGTTCTTTTGCGCAAATAAATTCACGATATTGTAGTACATTGTTCGATGTCGATCCGAAAATTCAAAATGCAATTAATACAAGAAAACCAATAGTAGCTTTGGAGTCCACGATCATTACTCACGGAATGCCATTCCCTCACAACGTTAATACAGCTCTTGAAGTGGAAAATTTAGTAACTTCAACAGGTGCTGTGCCAGCTACTATAGCTATAGTTGATGGCCGTGTTAAAGTGGGATTAAGTGAAAACGATTTAATTAAATTAGCTAAAGCGAGTGATACGATTGTAAAGTGTTCACGACGCGACATGGCATATGCTGTGGCCAAAAAACAAACTGGTGGTACGACGGTTGCAGCGACAATAAGAGCTGCTTGCATGATAGGCATAAAGATATTTGCTACAGGTGGTATTGGTGGAGTACATCGTAACGGTCATATAACCATGGATGTATCAGCTGATCTCGTGGAATTGGGTAGAACGCCTATAGCCGTCATAAGTAGTGGCATCAAATCCATATTGGATATACCACGTACTCTTGAATACCTTGAAACTCAAGGGGTTTGTGTGACCACTTATGGTAATGCGGAACAGCATTTTCCAGATTTTTATACTCGAGACAGTGGTATTAAGGTGCCTTACAATCTTAGCGATCCTCAAGAAGCGGCGTTTTTAATAAACGCCTTAAATAAATTGCAAATTAATTCGGGAATTTTAATTGGTGTCCCAATACCTAAGGAGTACGCAGCTGATAAAGATCAATTAACAGCAGCAATTGAACAAGCGTATACAGAGGCCGAACTTAAAGGGGTGACAGGTAAAGACGTGACGCCATTTATTTTGGGTGCTGTTGCCAGAATTACCGAAGGCAATAGCTTGCAGGCCAATATAGCATTGATTAAAAATAATGCAATAGTTGCGGCACAAATAGCATGTGAATTGAGCCAAATTGAGCAAAGGCGATTGCTTGAATCAATGGCAAAGCAAAATTCAACGGGAAATAGACAATTGAAACCTCTCGTAATTGGTGGATCAATGCTAGACCTTTCCCAGAATTTAATAGAAGATAAGCCTTTGGCTCTCGATGGTGCAACTTATCATACTCGTGTAACGCTGACAGGAGGCGGTGTGGGTCGCAATCTAGCAGAAGCAATTTATAAACTACACGGCCAAGCAAATTTGATATCGGCAGTTGGCAACGATCAGATGGGTGAAAGCCTATTGCAATTGATACCGAAACAATTACATAAGTGCATATTAATAAGTCAAGTTGAGTCTACAGCTATTTGTGCCATACTTTTCGATAAGGTAGGCGATTGTAAACTATGTATGGCCAATATGCAAATACATGAACAGATAACACCGCTTATAATCACGAAGCATGAGAACGAATTTAAAACAGCGCCTTTAGTAATAATGGACGGAAATTTAAGCAAAGAAGCTATGGAGAGTATTTTGCAATTGACCTTGAAATATAGTAAGCCGGTATTTTTTGAACCGACAGACAAGTGGAAGGCCGCAAAGCCATTTCAATTAGGTTTGCATTTAGCAAAACAAATACGATTTATATCGCCTAACATTCTTGAGCTAGAAACCATTGCTGAAGCATTGTGCCTTAAAAATATAATTGGACATAACGATAAGAACGTAAACTTATTGTCGTATTGCAAGAATTTAGTGGAAAGTATAAACAGCCATTTTGATTGCATCGCTGTAACCTTAGGTGGTCGTGGGGTCCTTGTGAGTATACGCGCTGATAATTTTTCGATTCCGCTATTTAATGCTGAAAACTGTGCATATTTTGTTCCTAAAACGGACAAGCATTCCATTCGATTTTATGAAGCCCCTTTAGTAAAAGATATCGTTAACGTTTCTGGGGCTGGAGATAGTTGGTCAAGTGGCTTTATTACTGGTCTTTTACGGGGTTTTAGTGTACAACGGAGCGTTGCTCTTGGTTTTCTGGCAGCTACTAAAGCACTGCAATATGATTCAGCTGTTCCTCATAAATACTTTGAGTGCCCCGCCGAAGAACAAAAGTTATTACAGGAAACTTTTGATACGTTACATTACCAAGATATGTGAAAAACAAGCTAATAGGCCCACCTAAAATAGAAATTTAGTAACAGATGTCCATTTTGAACAAGCACTACTACTTACAATTTCACAACTTTATCTTTGCCACCAGAAGCAACTCTAGAGCCATCAGGAGCCCAATCGACAGCAAATACCTCATCTGCATGACCCGGCAATTCTTGTGCCAACTTTTTAGTTTGAACACTCCATACTAACGAACCAGATTTCATTAAGAATGAAAATAAAATTTGGATGTATTTTAAAATTACCTTTTAGTGTTGAGTCCTTACTGCCACTTACTATCAGTCGAGAATCTGCCGACCAGGCTAACGTGTAAACAGCTTGGACATGACCTCGAAACGTGTTTAAAAATTTTCCATCTTTGGCTCGCCATAAACGTATCGATTTATCAAATGATGCCGAAGCAATTAGTTTAACATCCGGTGAGTATTTGACATCGTTAACAACATTCTGATGGCCGGTCATGCGCTCAATGCATTTATTTTGATTTGCTGACCATAAGTAGAGTGTATAATCATCGGAACACGATACCAATGATTCAATATCATCTGGGCAAACATTTTTGTAGCGTTCAAAGGCCATCTTTTGCATTTCTTCCTCTATAAATATGCAGTGCAAGATTCGAATCCCATAATTGAAAGGATAAACTTCATGATACTTACTGCTATCAACCATACGTCTTTTATTTCGATCTATAATAGAATGAAATGGTCCTGTACGTAAAACATAGTCTGTACTCAAAGTTATATTATTAACCCAATGAGCGTGGCCAGAAAAAGTGCGACACAAGACACCGTCAGCAGACCTCCACGCTTTAACCGTACGATCCTTTGAAGAACTGTAAATTAAACCGGCTCCTCCCCAACGTACAGCCGTAACAGCAGCCGTATGACCTTCGATTTTTAAAAGGGATTGGACGTCCTTTATCACTTTTTCACGGAGTTAAATTAAGCGTTCTTTTTATCTAATTACCTGATATAACCATTATGCATTGCCCTAATACGATATCCCAAATTCTACAGTCCCCGTCACTTGATGCGCTAGCAAGTTTTCGACAATCTGAGTTTCGGTGATATGGTTCCCAACTCATACAGTTAATCCATTTCTTATGTCCACATAAAGTTCGTCCAACTTGTTTACCTGTCTCGGGATCCCATATCATTATTGTGCCAGCCTTGCAGGCGCTGGCTAGTTTATGGCCGTCTGGCGACCATGCAACACACATAACCCACTGTCTATGGCCGACACAAGTGTGGTGAGGAGTTTCAGTATTCAAATCCCACAAGCGAACAGTAGTGTCTCCTGAACCACTAGCCAAACGTTCACCGTTTGGACTAAATCCAATAGATATAACAGCTTCGGCATGACCTGGCATAGAACTAGTACATCGCGTAACTGGGCGCACTTTAAATACCGATTGTGGTTGATAAACTATGTTGACGATGTCTTCCGTATCAATTGACCTTAAATCTAATGTGGCTTCTAAAGTCTTTTTAATTTCGTCTTCCCCAATGAAAAACAAGTACGGCGTAGATTCTTCATTTTTCAATAATGCATTGCAAATTAAACCCAATTGTTCGACCGTTACATCGGCTGGGAGATCTATAGGAGGGCCAGCTTCTTCTCCTGAATCAGAAATTAATCGAGCTTGCACTGTCTGTGGTGGTCTTTCATCGAGTTCATTGTCAGCTTTATCAAAATCATTTAATTTCGCTCTTTTAAACATTTTTATAGCCCGTCCAACACACGTCTTATATTCACTACACGCAACAATAACACGTGCAAATTTTTTATAAACAAACAGAGTGGCTAAGTTCAATTATGATTTTTTGACGTTTCAAATACCAGATTAAGGCTATTACATCTAAAACGTTGAAAACAATTAATGCATATGCTTCGAGAATGCAAATGCCGAAGTATGGCTTAATGTTCCGTGTTTGTAAGTGATTGAATTATTTAGCTTTTGCATGATTTTAAGATAATTTCGAAAATAATGATTAGTTTAATGATTAGTTTAATAACACAAAAATAAAACGTATGTGTTTATATGTGTTTTAATTGAAGAAATTTGGAATCCAAATTTTGGGGCGATTTCCCTTATTTGTAATCGATTCGTTGTTTATATATGAAGCAATCTCTATCAGCAAACAATACGTTAGTTGATTTTATGTGAAATATGACGTGATGGAAAAGAAAGGTAAGGTAAAGTGAAATTATACAACAATTTTGATCAGCATGCTGAGAGATTTAACCGTTTCGAATTTAATTAGCTTTATTAATATTAAAAACATTTTGGCTTTTATGCTCCCACAGTTTTTCAAAAGGTCCTTTAGATTTGGAAAAGGCATAATTATAAAAAAACATATACTTTGTTTCGCCTATGTTTCATTCATCTCGTTTCAGCTTTTCATCTTGCTTAAATTTTTTTTTTTCCACCTCTATAAGCGTATGATTATGAACAAAGCGATGTCCTATTCGTTTTACAAAATAGTTAATTTAGAATACCTTGTAGAACATTAAAGAACAGTAATTGTTACAAAAATTCTGAGTATTAAGAGAGAGAGTCAGATATACGTAAAGCCTAGAAAGCCTTATGATGCCATCCAGATAAGAATCATAACAATCGCAGTTGATCTATTTCAGCAAATGATATTGCAGCTTTGTAGAGCAAGTGTGATATCAGTTTCACAAAATTTTGTTAGAAGTCGCACGGCGTTTTACAACACTATAAATATGCATTGTACAGTGTTGTATAAGTTTGCAACTATATATGCCTGCTTTATGATATTATACAACTCTGTATATGACACGAAATCAAAATTATTTCTTTCAACAACTCGAGCAAAAGGACTAAAAGTTTATTTAACATTAATTACGAATTTTAAAGTAAAAAAAAAAGAAGAAATATGTCAGCCGTTGAAGAATTACGAAATAAAATAGCAGAGCTGAAACAAGAACTCGGTCAACAGCATGAAAATGCTTTACAAGTAGGTGGACGTCAACGCATTGAGAAAATGTCCGCAGAGGTTGTGGACTCAAATCCCTATAGTCGACTAATGGCTTTACAACGAATGGGTATAGTCAAGGAGTATGAAAGGATACGTGATAAAGCGGTAGCGGTTGTCGGTGTTGGCGGTGTAGGCAGCGTCACTGCTGATATGTTGACTCGTTGTGGTATAGGCAAATTGATTTTATTCGACTACGATAAAGTGGAGTTGGCTAATATGAATCGTCTATTCTTTACACCTGATCAGGCTGGCCTGTCGAAAGTGGAAGCGGCTGCTCGCACTTTGTCTTTTATCAATCCGGATGTTCTTATAGAAACACACAATTATAATATAACTACTGTAGAGTCCTTCGATAAGTTTCTATATGCTATTGCTAAAGGCGGTTTGATATCGGGACAACCTGTTGATTTAGTCTTAAGTTGTGTTGATAATTTTGAGGCTCGTATGACTATTAATGCGGCTTGCAATGAATTAGGTTTAAATTGGTTTGAGTCCGGTGTCTCAGAAAATGCCGTGTCTGGCCACATACAATTTATACGGCCTGGTGAAACAGCGTGCTTTGCTTGTGCTCCTCCTTTAGTTGTGGCGGAAAATATTGATGAGCGCACTTTAAAGCGGGAAGGAGTCTGTGCAGCCTCTTTACCCACTACAATGGGTATTACCGCCGGTATGCTGGTACAAAATACTTTAAAATATTTGTTAAATTTTGGTCAAGTCTCTGATTATCTGGGTTACAATGCTTCAAATGATTACTTCCCGAAAATGACACTTAAACCAAACACAGAATGCGATGACTCCCATTGTCGAGCCAAACAACGAGAATATCAAGCTAAACCCAAACCTATACCGGAAGAGCAACCTATAACAGATGAAGAAAATCCTGTGCATGAAACTAATGAATGGGGCATCGAACTGACTGATAGTAATCCGGAAGACCAAGGGGAGTCTACGCCCGGCCAGTCAAAGGAATTAGCTTTCGGTTTACAACGAGCTTTTGAAGCCCCACCAACGCAGGAACAATCTTCAGATGAACGCACTACAAATTCTACGGAGAATGTTGATTTAGACGATCTTATGGCTCAAATGAAATCTATCTAAGGAGCATGCCAAGCATTTACTCTTTTTAAGCTTCACGTCTATATATTAAGAACGTATTCCATATTTTTTTTATTTCTGAAAAATGTCTTATTTACTTATTTATAAAAAAATTGTTTTTCAAATCTTAAGCGATCCTAGTGTTCACATTTTTGTAATAAATTTGCAAAATAATTAAAGGCCGATTTTTAAAACATTTATTTGAGAAAAAAAAATATAAAAGCGGCGAATTATGGGAAATCATAATAAACACAATTTATTGGAGAATTGAATTAATTTCCATTGCCTTTGTTTAGTTCTTTACAGAAATCTTAATTGAACGCAAAATCGAACTGTGGGTAACTACTCAGCGTATCTTGCATTGTTAAGAAGATATGCTAGATGGAAGGACCGTATCTACAGGGAATGGAGCGAGAGCATTAGCATTTTGCAAGTGCATTAAATTGCAATTGAAAATTGATTGGTTGAATAACGTGTGTTTGAGTTTGAGACCGCAAGAGTAGCAGAGTCGGCTTAATAAGCCAGTGTTCACGGAGGGATTCAAATCTCAATGCGGTAGAGTTTATCTTGGTCATAGCTATATTAAATGTTTAGTCGATAAAGACATAACATTCACTTACTTATTTATTGGGTACCTAGACCACTCTCTATATCATTCCCTTTCTTCACTTTTTCTTATTACTGGCCGTCACCGTGTTACACAAATAGGCGACATCCCTTGACTGATTCGTCATTAAAAAAAAAAAATATGTGAATAGCAATTATTTGATCTTGCTGTTCACGTTGACTTGAATGGTGAAATAAAATGTTCGGAGTTCGCCATAAATGATGTCAATTATTAATTAAAATGAAATGTTAACCCATGGAAATTAATTCAATTATCTAAGATTAATTAAAAATAACGAACTTTAATTACTGTCTTAAATTTGTAAATGCAAATCTAAAATTAAATAGAGCTAAGACATGGTACCAGCTTTACAACAATAATGTATGTATATGTAAAAACAGTAGGTTATCCATGTTATAACATTCTGCGCTCTAAACGTATACGAAAACCTTCTTCACGTTTTAAAATTATATCAGCTTGCAATTTAAAATCCGACTCCTTTAGATCTGAATGTACACGATAGTTACGTAATATGGTGGATAAAAGAATTTTCAACTTTAGCATAGCATATTTCCAGCCTGTAAACAAAAAAAGGAAGAAGAGAGAAAATTATTATTCAAATATTTGATTGTTACTTACCTACACAGCTGCGCGGTCCAGCCGAGAAAGGTATGAAAGCATAATAGTGACGATTGGCTTGTCGCTCGGGTAGAAAGTTGTCGGGATCAAAAACGTTAGGATTTTCATAAATTAAAGGATTGCGGTGCAATTTAACGGTGGTGACGGTAACGGTAGCTCCTTTAGGTATAATATAATTATTTGATATTAATTTTAAATCTTCTTGTAATTCGCGAGCGATCACTGGTACCGGTGGATAGAGGCGCAAAGTTTCCATTAAACAGCGCTCTAAGTATTTCATTTCTAAAGTGTCCTGAAAAGTAACCGGCCGATCGGAATTGCCAAAAATGTCATTTAATTCAGTTACGACTTTTTCCTGTATATGCTGGTGAATGCCCATCAACGATAGGAAGAATGAGGAACACGCAGCAGTTGTATCGTGACCTTCGAACATTATTGTATCTACTTGTTCTTTAATTTCTGTATCCGTTATTAAGGCACCATTTTGAGCGCTTTCTAACATTAGGTCCAAAAATGCCAAACGTTTCTTTTCACCCACATAATTATCGTCCATATTTGGATCGTCGAGTAAACCCGATGACTGGCCAAATGGTAAACCTTCTACTGTTGTTGTGAGCTCTTCATCCGCCTGACTTTGGCCTTTGTTTTCATTCGAATTGTTCACAATTAGTTCGCCATTTTCATTCAATTCATGTTCAGCCAACGAGCCTCGAGCACCTTTGGCGAAGGCTTGCTTCTTGCTTTTTATGACTTTCTTGGTGAGACCGTGAATTATATTCAATAAACGTCCCTGTTCCTTGTAGTATTTACTTAAAGTAAATATGAATTCATTTCTTAGGAAAATACTGCGATGTCTTAAGTGCAAGATGTCGCACATTTTCATAACGGCCAAAGCGTATTCAAAACCCGATTTATCTTGCGTTTTCCTCGATACACCCATAACAGTCTCTGTTCATATAATAAAAATTTCTTTTATTAATATTAATTTTGTTAAATTATTAAATTTTACTTTAGAATCAATAGCTCCCATCACCGCAAGATAACGCTTAGAAATAGCGATATGTATGTGTGTTTGGCGCCATTATTCTTCAGACGCTCAGGTTCTTAAAAATTGAAACAGAAAAAAAAAAAAAAAAAAATATATATATATATATATATATATATATATATATATCTTCTTCGACTCTATGAGTACAAAATGTTCAATACGAACGCGAACTTTTTTCTTTGAACCTTAATAAATACACGTAAATGCACGTAAATAAAATAATTTCTTTATTATTCTTATTTTTTCTCGACTCTTGATGCGATGTGTTCTGAGATGATCTACATTTACTCACCGGCTTCTACGCGGGTCATAATTCCCTCAGATACCCTTCTGAAAAACATGGGTATCTTCGATATCGATTCATGCAGATTCTATCAAGGGACGACTGAAACGTCCCATCATATTCTATGTGGTGAATGTGAGACTATCTGCAGAATCAGACACCACGTGTTTGGCGAGTATTTTAAAACGTGGGACAGGGTATGCTGCTACGATCTAAAGAAATTAGGGAAGAACGCCATTGGAAATTGTTCAAATCGGAACACTTTTTCAATCAGTTCCCACGCAACAACTTATTTTGAAAAGTCGTCAAATAAATAATTGTATTAAGCGAAATGATGTAAGGTATTTAAAGATAGGACCGCGCTCAACTATAGTGTTTTTACGCATTTTATTCGAAAAACTTTTATACAAAAAATAGTTTTTATTAAAAAAAAAAACAAAGCAATGTTATGACTGACTTAAGATAATTGTATTAAACGAAATATACTAACTGCTACTCAGTCAAGGCTGCAATTCGATTTTTGCTTGTCGAAAATGCGTGTTTTTTTTTTTTTTTTT